TTGAACATGGTGAAAGCCCTAGAATCGAATTGACTTTTATAGCTTGTGAATATTCTACGTTTTGTCTGACTTTTTAGGGAATTGCCATTAATTAGGGGTTTAACGGGTGGGGGGAGTTTCACCACAACAGTTCTTTTCGTCCAACCCATGACTCTGACACTGAGGTATCCTGAAGTAACGCTGTCATAATCAATAGAAATTAATGGTAACTCTCTTTATATCCATTTTTTTTTTTTAGTTTTTCGTTGAAGTTGCCAAGGTCGATTTACAAAACTTCTTCTTCCTAGCGTAATATGAAACCCTGTTATTAGCCATTCCGTTCGGGGTGAGGAAAAAGGTTGATCGGGTTGGCATTTTGGTCGTCGTTTTAGGGAATGAAATAGACGCCATATTGGAAATATATCCCAATTTTGAATAGTTCCGTTCAAAGATTGGTTTTACATGGGAAGGAGTGTACATTACTTTTTAGTTATTCGTCGAGGGGAAGGCTTGATATTTTTTTCGCGCGTCTTGCATGGGGAGTGGACGAAAAGAACTGTTACACTGTAAATATTAGGCAACTCCCCCTCCCCCCACCCGTTAAGCCCCTAATAAATGACAAGTCCCTAAAAAGTCGGACAAAACGTAGAATATTCACAAGCTATAAAAGCTATTTTAGCAAGCCAATCGCGGTTGTTACAGGGAGATTTAGTCGTTCTTGATATGTTTTATCTTGTACGTCAAACCGTAAAGTTTATCGTTTCACACGAAGTTTAGGTGTATTTTAGTGTTGTCTACAATGCTAATGAACTTACTCCCATCAAACTTCACATTTTCACTCATTTTAATATGATCTTTCCAGCTATGGTTATTCTTCTTCTTTCTTGTGAGTTTTAGTGGAATTTCATGATAAAAATTCATTTTACAGGCGAAGTCATCATTATCTACTGTCTTATCTTTTGCTTCACTTTTTCTTTTTTTCAGAAGGAAATTAAACGGTAAAATGAATGAATCAATTGACTCAACGGAAAGAGCTATCCATAACAACACGGTGTCATCACCGTCAAAGTCACTTGTTATCATAACAGTTGTTTTTGGTAAGTTAATGAAAGTGATGATACACCGGATCGAAATATAGCGATCAATTTGAATAAGATGAAAGATATAAATGAAGGAAGGAAGGAAAATAATAAATGAATAAAAAGAAAACTGAGGAGGAATGAAAAAAGCGATGAGGCGATTTATGAA